ACGAAGTAATATATTTGTTTATATATATATATATATATATACACGTACATATGCACGTCTATGCGCACATGCACATAAATATATGTGTAGAGGAAGTTATCATGAAATATAATTAGATATAGAAATGTTAAAAAAAAAGTATATCAAAGTGTATGTACATGTGCGTTACGTTTTATAATATAAATTTATATTTTTACATGCGCTTTTTTTATAAATACTTTTCATTACATTTACATACATTACTTTTTCACAGGTACATGTTATTTGTGCAACTATAGCTTTTGGAATGGGCATTGATAAACCAAATGTGCGTTTTGTAATACATGCAGCCCTGCCAAAGTCCATAGAGGGCTATTATCAAGAGAGTGGCCGTGCTGGTCGGGATGGTGAAATAGCAGATTGTATTTTGTTTTATCATTACGCAGATATGCATAGGATCAGAAAAATGATTGAATTGGATAATCCAAGTCCACAAGTCATTGGTACACACATGGACAATTTATTTAAAATGGTAGCATTTTGTGAAAATACTATAGATTGTCGTAGATCGTTACAGCTTAATTATTTTGGAGAGATATTTGATAGACAACTGTGTATCTCGAATAAAATAACCGCGTGTGATAATTGCAGATGCAAGGTATATCATATAAATTAGACAGATAATTATTTCAGCAAAAATATAAAGTTGTTGTTAAATGAAATTATTAATAATTAATAATTTTAGGGGGAGATTACAATGTTAGACGTTACCGAAGATGCAAAAGAGATTATGAAAGCTGTACGAGATATTAATAATAAAAAGAAATGCAAACTTACAATAGTATTCTTAACAGATATTTTTAAGGGCTGTGATCTGAAAAAGATTAGAGAATCAGGTTTATGTTCATTATTATAACATTAATAAAAAAAAAATAAAAAAAATAGGAAAGATTGGATATTTTATATCATATTTAATGTATAATGTAGTACAACAAGAATTTTATCGTAGGTCTTACAAAACATCCTTTATATGGTCGCGGTAAATCATGGAATAAGAGTGACATAGAACGCCTTTTGCATTATATGGTATTGCAAAAATATTTACAAGAAAATATGTATATTAATAATGAAATTGCTTGTGCATATGTAAAAATCGGGCCAAAAGCAAACGAACTTATGACAAAAGATGTAAAGGTATCTATTTTTATTCATATAGAATACAATATATTGAATAGGTTTATAATATAATCTTGGATATTTTAAATGTCCAAGTATACACATATTAGCATATAAAAAATTTTCTTGTTATCTTTTATTATCTTTTGAATAGGTACAAATTCCAATGAGACAATCGAATAAATCTACAAGTGGTGTGGCCACAGTTTCAACAGTTACAAAAAAAATCGATGGTATTATAAAAGAATTGCAAGATCGTTGTTACGCCGAGTTAATGACAATAATAAGAGGAATCGCTGGCGCACTTGATGTTTCCGCTTCTTCTATCATGAATATGGTAGCTATCAGAGCTATGAGCCAGCGTTTACCGGAGACTGAAGAAGCCATGTTACAAATACCACATGTCACTAAAGCCAATTTTATTAAATACGGCAAAACTCTTTTGAACGTTACTCAAAGATATGCGGCAGAAAAAATTGGTACGATACTTACACAATTTGCAATGTTATAAAATAATACTTTGTGTAATTATTTTATTATTTTTAGGATTGTTAAATGAAAATAATGAGCAGAATAGTGATGATAATGATAATAATGATGATAATACCTGGGATGACAATAATTCCAACTATTCTTACAGTAGCGGTAGTACCAGCAATCGTGGCAAAAAACGGAAGATTGGCAATAGTAATAGTACTAATAAAAAATATAAACGAAATAGCTCGAGGTAATGAAAAAGAAAAATATGCGCGTGTCTATATGATCATGTATTTCTTTTTGTGTATATAAAACATAATTATATGTTAAGAGATTCTCATAGAAAAAAATATACATAAAAAATTGTGTAGCCGTATGTTTTTAGATTTGTACATAATCATTTTCTTTATATTTATTTATAGTGCGTGGAGAGGAAAAGGTTCATCGAGAAACTCATCAAAAGTTTCAACAAAATATAACGCAATTATAAAAAAAGAAGTAGGACTCGCAAGTTTCAGTCAAACGACACAGTATCGTGCAAATCCTAATAGATACATGAACATTGCCTAATTGTTTCTTTTTTCTATTTATTGTAAATTATTTAAGGAGTTTGCGAATTCATAATGTCTCTGTACATGTCTTGGAATATGATATCTGAAGTTTTCTGTGGCATTTAAATCATCTTAATGAATAAAATAAATTTTATTGGAATTGCAAAATCATTTTATGTTTATATGTCTAAGTAATCGCTAAATATTGTCGCGCTCGCGGCAGTCATGCTTAATCGCGTTATGCAGATGAGCCACGCGCGGAATAATGACACGTCTCTGAAACAGCGCGTTACACAGAACAATCAAGGACACAGTCATCAGGGAACAATCCTGTTTTAAAACATTGATTTTTCCGAAGGCAATGACGAGCGGATCACCATTCGGTCGTAACAATATATATGTAAAATAATAAATATGTATAATCATAAAATTTTTATAAAATATTTTTTGAGATATTTATATTTGATTGAATAATGTGTTTATAATTCCATTATAAACACATTATTCAATCAAATTAAATATATTTATCTTTTACAGCATCTGATTATTTTGAAGTCTTATACAGAAATAATAGGATTATAAACTTTTTCATATAAGAATTCAGTTCTCTATTGTTTTTAAAGGTGTTGAATTTGACACACTCTCTCTCTCTCTCTCTCTCATTCACTCACTCTCACACACACACATACGCACACATAAAGTATATTAACTTTAAATTTATTTATACTACTATATTTTCTTGATACTGTATTTGATATGTAATATATATTATCTATAAATCTGGTTGCATTATTCTAGCTTGTCGATCTTCATTCTGAATATGCTTTTTCAATAAGTCCATCACTTCATTATCAAATTCAGATGGAGTTGGTTTAACACCAGTCGCCCAATAGAATATATCCCAATCATTGGTTGGTAAGTTGATAAGTTGATCATATAGACTTAATTGTTTATCATTAAATGTATTCAAATACTTGTTTGCAAATGTACTAAGAAGTAGACCATTTTCCAACATTCCACGTTTACGTGATTGATACGTTAATCTAAAATAATAAATAGAATAAAGTCTTGTCATAAGAATATAATAAAAAATATTAATTCGTAGTTTGATTGTATACTTATTTGTTGTAAATAATGATTCTAATGATCAGTGATCAATTAAATCTAAATTTGATTTTGTAGCTATGATTGTAAAAGATGCAATATGGTACATGTAACATGAAATTTAAAAAGAAATTTCTTGCTTTTGTCTCTAGTCAATTGATGTGATTAATTATTCGTTATTCATATATCATAATACGATTGGGATTATACAATACCGAGCTCTTTTAAGATTTGCATTCTCCCCTTCACGTTCTACATAGCGTGGAATGTTGGGTTCCTGACTTTCTGGATGAATTAAATCTTGAAAATCATCTTTCTGCCTGCAGCAACTTATCGACACGTTTTTTGTAAGCATAAGCGGCCTGATCTGAAACATTTGTATCTCATTATGTATTTAATTTAATTTATATAATTATAAATTCAATAAATTTAAAAATAAATTCAATAAATTTTATATGTTCGTTTCTTCAATACATTGCTCAACTTACACAGGATGTGAAACGATTAGATATAATATTCATTGTCAAGTAATTGTCGCGTACTATAAATAACCTTGCAATATATTCCACGAATGATAATCAATATAGCTCGATACTTTGCCTATACTCTTCTTCTTGTTCCTGCAAATAGCCGAGATTACCAGTCGATGCCGATCAGGCCACGAATTTGACTATATGTGCGTTCCATTACACGTATGGACCGCATCATGATGTAAAAAGAAAGATAACAACATCACGTATGCGCAGTCTCAACCAATAAGAATTGGATCAAAATCAGGTTAGACGACAATTTCCCAAAAAATGAAGGAGATAATGTTAGTACCAACAAAATCCTTTAAACAAAATAATTTTAGTTTCCATGGATTAGTAACACGATTACACAATTTCCATAAAAAAAGAGGGGAGCTTTCCAGCGATGTACATAGGCGACACTGTGTAATACAGTGTACAACTACAGTATATACAGTAGTGCAACTCTCCCAATTTTAGCGTGTAAAATTGAATTGCATATATGCGAGCTAAGTAGCTAACCAATCACGTAACTAATTTTCTGTCAATTTCTTCTCGGGTTTTTCTATAGCGTTCTATATCATTTAAATGTCCAACATACTAGCGGTATCAAACGTCTGACATATAAAGTAAAATCATAAAAAGTTTATTCTGTTAAGGCATGTTAAAGAAAATAAATAGAAGTGTTCAGTATTGAGTGAATATTGAATATTGATTAATGAATAGTTCAGTGAATAATGAGAGAAAATAAAACTAAGAACAAAGAGTTATTTTTTTCTTTGGAAAATAGTTAATCTTTATAAAGATTTATACAAATTATTTTCCATTTTTTTTATTATAAGATTTTTTATTATTTAGATTTCTTTATTATAAATTTAGAATATTGAAAATTTAAAAACACGTTATTTTCTTTGAAAATTATTATTTGTTCTTATTCTAAAAGTAAATTAGACATTATACATTAGACATTAACATTAGACATTAGACATTAATTGCAATTGCATATATGTATAAGTATATTTATAATGCTTTTAAAATAAATTGTTTTTTCTTTATATAAAAATATTTTTTTACTATTGTATACCTATTTACTATTGTATTTCTATTTATTCATTAAATTTTTATATTATTTTTTAAAATTTTTATAAAATAATTATATTTTTTTTAAAATCTTTATAAATTTAATAAATCTTATAATTTAAATCTTATAATTTAAGAAATACATATTTACATTTATGTTTTTATTTTAAAGTAATAATATTAATTAAATACAAACGTTTATTTTATATACTACTTTCCTTATATTGAATATTTTTTTCATATTTTATGAAATTTTTTTATCAAAGTTAATAATATAATATAGTTTTTCTTTTAATCAATATTTATATATTTTTATGTATATATGTTTTTTAAATTATTTTTTATATTTTATTTTTGATATTTATATTTTATATTGTCTATAGAGTATTTTTCATTATTAGCTACGTATTTATATCATATTTATATTATTTTTATTTAATTTATATCTTAAATATGATGCTAGCATATTAATAATAAGTTAGAAAAAGAGAGGAAGTATATACATTTAATGTACTTAAAACAAAATAAATATATATTTAATTGATATATTTAACTTGATGAAAGCAAGATAGAACATTTTAGTGCAGTCTAGTACAGAATCGAAGAACAGATCTATGATTGGTTACTTACTTAGCTCGCGCATGTGCAATTCAATTTCGTACATTCATCAAGAGATCAATCATGTAACTTTACATAAAATTTTTCACTTTTCATTTTTTATTTTTCATTTTTCACACCTTGATATTTCATGTGAAACTTTTCACGTACAGCGATTATGTATGTAGCTTGGATGCATGGAAAGTGAAATCATGAAATATAGTTTCATAGGTTTTTATAGCTAATGAAAATTATTTTATTGGCACAGTATTATATACATCTTTTAATAACCAATTGTATATGTATTACGTACATTTAATCCTAACACAGCCCTAATCTTCTCTAATTCCGAAGCATATTTATTAATTCCCTAGATTTCTGTTTTTCCGCCACCAAGGTACATGGCGAAAAAGTGAAAAATTTTACATTTTCACTTTTGAGAGAGTTACATGATCCTGCAAAATCGTACATGATCATAAGTTCATGTGAAAACTTTTCACTTTTTACGTTTCCGTCCTAGGGAAAAGTTACATGGGGTTTCCAATAATGTACACAGGCAACACCGTGTAACACAGTGTCTACATTGGTGCTTTCTATCTGACACAGAGAGACACAAAATGACACTGCGAAACACAGCTCGATCCTAAGTTTGGCCGTGTCGGACGTCAATAGCGCCAACATATCGAGCAAAATTATTTTTTTTAAGTGTGGTACTAATATACATTCCGATCATTATTGTCATTTTGGATGCGTTCCGTTTCTTGCATGATGTGCATAATGTATCATTTATCCTTGTTTAATGTATAGTGATAAGAATTCTTTATTTGCAAAAAAATGTCGTCGCATTCGAATAACATAGTATCGAACCCGGAAATTCTTAGGTAATCAATATTCAGTTTTTTTTTATTTAACGAATTATATAAGCTTAAAAACATTACGTATTTATTGATGACCCATTATTAGTACATATTCTATTAGATTAAATTTTATTGCAGATATGTTCTTTTGTCGATATTGTAAAGAAATTATTTTTATATTAAATGATGTTGTAAGAACGCAAGTGCTAAAAACCAAATTTACTGCGAACTCTCGGGAGAGTCAAATGACAAGAGGGACAATCTTCTAACTCTGGTCGTAGCAATCGATAGCTTATTATCGGTTGCGCGAGATGGCAAAGGAAAAAAGGCACATTCAATCACACATACCTCTTTTTCTTTACTACTTCTTTATTTCACCATTAACGGACGACTCACTCTTTTGCGTACCCCTGTTACTCTCTTTTCTTCGCCCTCTTTTAACCAATCGCAATACATCACGTGGTCTTTCAACCAATAGGCGTTAATATCAAAATATGCCGCATTCCGCGCTACTGCGCGGGAAAAATAAAAAATTTAAACTTGCTGACGTCCCTGAGGGTCTTCCTTACAATGTTAAGCATCATGCTTGTTTCAAAGGAAAAGAAAGAAGGAGAAGAAGTTTTCCTTGAAAGAGAAAAGGAATTATACTCATCTGAAATGAATGAGATTCCATGTAATGTCAAATCGAAAAGATCATAGTTATTTTACAAATATAAAATAAAGCGCTTTGTAGCCAGGAATAAAATAATCAATACATATAATTTACTTAAATTTATTTCAGTATGTATCAATAATTCTTCAAAAAATGCACTGGCAATAATGGATGATAACGAAAAAAATATGCTCATGTTTATGCGTGATGCGTCTTCTCTACGTCATAATCTCTCTAGTGAGCATGTTTAGTAACTTATGTGTTCCAATTAAACTCTATAATTATGTCTTACTGTGTCACACCAGTGTCTCTCTGTGTCACACTGTGTAACACCAAACTCTCCTTGTTGGAAAGCACCCTGTATGTACTGTAACACTGTGTCACAGTGTATCACTGTGTTCCGTAGCTGGAAAGCACCCAATGTTGGTAGTAACAAAAATCCTTAGGATGCGTTCCCATAAACAAGAAAATAACGGAACGGAATAGTAATGGAAAGGAAACATGATGGGGGGCTAACTAATCAGAATGATTTCGTTCCATTTTTTCCACCGGGTTTCCCATGGCAAACATTTAACGGATTTATTACGGAATACATGAATTTAACCTGTTATCGGATATATCGTTGGACGGCCTGACATAAAGCCACTTTAATTGTTTCTCTTCATCCGAGAAGACATCCAAAAAAAGTATGGGGATTTAAGGTCTGTTCCTCATAATAAATTATTAAGCATGTTCACTGAATATATAACAAGACTTTATTCTTTTATAATAAAGACTTTAAGGGTTTTCAATTACAAATTGAGACTACTGGACCGCACGCTGTGACGGTTCGACAGAGAAAGAGATCAGGAAATCCCGGCCACATTGTATCCAAAAATACATTCCCAAACGCATTGATCGCAGGCTGTGATGACGCTGCTTGCGTGTGGTCCTTGTCCAGATCTGCTACACTACTCGCCCCCGAATCTCAAGATAAAAATCTGTCTTTCTGGAGAGTTGATATAGTTGGTCCATAGATCCTGGTTGCAGAGTTTCCTCTCTAAGTGAATCCTACTGCAGTTCTACGGACTTCATAAATGCTAGTTTGAGCCTGTCCATATTGATTGTTGTTGGTTGTCCTTTGAAGTTGATTCTGTAAAGAGAGTCATTAATTTTTATAATAATAGGATATGGGCTATCGTATGGTTGTTCTAACGGGCGGCATGGTCTATCTACTTGTACAAATACGTGCGTGCTATCTTTTAATTTTTTATGAATAAATGACTTCTCTTTGATGTGATGAGTTGTAGATACAGATCTGACTGCTCTCATGCTCTCTCGGAACTTCTCAGTAAACATTTGTGGGTATCCAGTAGGTTCTTCTGTAGCGAAATGTTCGCCAGATAAGCGAAGTGTAATACCTTACACTAGTTCTGCTGCTGATGCGTTGATATCCTGTTTGAAGCTGTTTGAATGCTTGAATCCTGTTCTCAGGCCTAATAAGACGACAGGAAGTGCATCTATCCAGTTTTGCGTTGCGTGACATTTAATGGCTGTCTTTAGAGATCGATGCTACCTTTCGATTATACCGTGGACTGCAGGTGGTATGCGATGGTACGAATTCTTCTGTTTCCAATCAATTTTGCTAATGCTTCAAACATCAGGGATTCGAATTGGCTATCGCGATCCGTTGTTATTATTACCGGTATTCCAAAACGAGCTAACCAAGTGTAAAAGAATGCTGTAGCGATAGTATCCGCTGACCTGTCCAGCGTAGATACTGTTTCCGGCCATCTAGTGCACCTATCAATCATCGTTAGGCAATATTAATATTTATTACCTTTAAATAATGATAGTGGACCACAATGTCCAAGTAGATGTGATGGAAACGTCATTTGGAACGTCGATGTGTCTTGGAATCGTCATACGTGGCGCTGAATTTTTGAACGTTGACAAGATAGACAGGTTCTAATCCAGTTTTTATTCTATTATATTGCCAACCTGAAACAAAATATTTATTAAAAGCGTCACATCTTTTCTGACCGATGGAATAATCGTCATAACAAGTAAAATTACTTTTGTTCATCCTAATCTTTACTTGTTTATACACGACCGCAATCAGTAATAATAACAATAAAATATTATAACTTAATTTTGGACAATACTAAAGCTCTTACCTAAAAATTTGGCAGTAATTATTTCATTATCAATAGATGTCTTATGAAGCTATTTGTCATATGGCGTATAGATGTCGCACGAATAAAGTTTCCTATATTACCGATAGATAGTTCCTAATGAAGCCAACAGATGGTCTGAATCAAATTTTGATTTCGCTTTAAACTTAACTCTCATACATTAATAAGATAAAAAGGTATTGTTAACAAGATTATTATGTTTCACAGGGAATAATAACAAGGAAATAATAATAAAATTTTCGAAAAGGCACAAATAAATAAGACCATGACGTCAC